CCTCACTGCTTTGTGTTCCTTGGCTAACTTGCAGATACAATGTGTGTTGTGCTTAAGCATGAATAACAAAAAAACCCACCCACTTTGGTGCTCAAAGTTTGTGCCACTTCTTTTATTTACTCCAGGGATGTTTACATTATACCAAGAATCTGTCAGAATGAGTAACAAACAGGGTTCAGTGATGATGATGTTGAGTAAGCAAATGCCTGACCAAGCTTACTGTGTGGTCGCTGTAGGTGTAAGCCATTACCCCCTGATAATCTTTTTTTATGATTTAACTTTTCAAGTTGATATGAAAAGCTAAAAAACCAAAACAAAATCAGCCACTTTATGTCAGATAGCCACCATATACAGAAGCTTTAGTAGCTTTCTGCTCTGTTGTACAACAGCGTGCCACACGCATGGAGAAGGAGAGAAAGTGAAACAGTGTTTTACTAGAGGAATAAAGGAACACTTTGAAAAAATAAAATAAAGTCACCAGACCATAAGGTGCTAATTGTGTATTATACTAAATGCAGTACAGTGGGTGACCTTTGTGCATATTAGCCAGCCTGTTGTAACCGTAGAAGACATTTATGTGTTGCTAGACAAAAGAAGAGGTGGCTTCCACCCTGGAGGCCGTCCAGAACATCCAGACCATATCTCAGGCTCTACAGAAATCCAAGGAGAACTACAACACCAAAACTGTGGAGCAGGAGCGCCTCCGTAAAGAGGGGGCCACCCAGAGAGATGTGGACAAGGTGGGAGGTCACACTCGTATGTACACACACCCACATAATCCCGGTATGGTAATAAGACATAATGAAGTGCCTTAACACTCCAGTCTATTCAGAAACCTTAATCTCAAAAGCCTTTTTGCCTTCACATGTTAAATTCCTTGCTTATTTGGCAGTTGATGTGAGAAAACAGAGGGCCATTGTCTACAGTATATAAACTGCTGATATCCATTTATCTGTCTCTGTACTTTTTCAGGCTGGTGTGAAAGCCAGAAAAGCCACAGAGGCCTACAAGTCATATGTGGAGAAATATGCCACAGCAAAGTCAGAATTTGAACAGAAGATGGCAGAAACTGCACAGGTACTGTGATAATTGAATTTCCTTGTCCTGTGTGCATGTGCTTAAACGAAATATGTTGCTTGCAGACTCTGTCTATTGTCTGTCTCTGTGGTATGCAATACACTTATTATGTGATATGTAGTGTGTGTGTGTGTGTGTGTGTGTGTGTGTTCCATGTTTCGTGCCCTGTATCATCTCCAGATTGTGTTTTTTCCTCTGCAACGGAATCGTTGTGGAAAGCCCTAATTGGAGCCATCTGAGGGTCTGATTAGATAAACTCCAAATTAAAATCAGATCAACAGAGTTTGGCCTCTATATCCTCCTGCACCACAGCAGCTCCACCACCAGAAATGGTTCCAGTTAGCCCAGCGTTTTTGCTTTCCCCCAGAGAACGCGGCCTTGCAGCTTTGCTTCCCTCTCGATCACAGTCTACAGTTCATCCCGAACGCAGCACGTTTGGACATGAGTTATAAACACTGAACACATGTGCTGTCTGACATCACTGAGGCTCCTACATGTGTGTTCACTTTCTCTGAGTGTGTCTGTCGGTGGGTGAGTGTGTCTGCCTGTTATTGTGGGGGATGACAAAATACAGCATTAGTTATGTGCATGTCTCTGTAGTGTAAATGCAGGAGTAAGGGACTCTATTTCTGAGAGTTTGTGGTTAGAAAGGCTCATCTTCCTCCACATCCACACTGTGATGGACTATGATTATTTATACTCATTTTCACTGGTTTACCTCAAAAACCCAGAGTCAGGCACAAATAGAAATAAATAGCCTACCAGCATTAAAGATGGTGATCTACACCATACTGCCTCTCAAAGGCAGAAATGACCCCCCCCCACCACCACCCACCCCCACTCCCCTATCAGTGTATTTCATGAACAGAATAACTGACATCTTGTGGGAGAACCTAGATATGTGTGTGTGTGTGTTTGAGCTGTAGACCACCCAGACCCACAGGAAGTGGCAGGGACAGAATAAGGAAGTGAAGTTTCCGAGGTTGCATTTTGTATTTTCATGCCTGTGTAATGGGTCTGACACCTTAATGTATATCTGTGGCCTGCATTTGATTTGATTTCAAGTCAGTGGGTGATTTGTTGCATTGCCGTTCCTTAACCATACCATCGCCCTGTTTAACAGAAATTCCAAGACATTGAGGAAAGCCACATTCTCCACATGAAGGAGATCATTCAGTCATACTCACAGTCTGTCGAAGAGACACACATGCAGATTGGAGAGGTGAGTATGTGCATGCACACACATACTGTATGCTGACATTCCTGTGGGTGGAGTTGGTGTCTTGTTCACTTGAGGATGTGGGTTCACTGTGTGCCATATCAATTAGTGTCATCTTTGATCTCGCTAATCATTTAACTGAGAAGCAGGAAACGTTCCATTCAGCTTTTTACGCCAAGCAATTAAAAACTGACAAAAACTGTGTAGGTAAAAGTGCTGCACAGGTCTTTCTGTTTCTGGAAGAGTGTGTTTAGGTTTTAGAAAGTGGCATCAAGTGTAATTGTGAAGGCTTTCAAACATCATTCACAACTATATTAATCAGTGCTTAATGGTAACCAGAGATTTCTTTTCATTTGTTTGTTCAACAGTGATACTTACCAGTCGCACACTGAATCACTCAAGACTAACTACAGTCTGCTGCTCTGTTCTCATTAGTCTGTGGCTGCTCTGTACTGTAGTTTCCTTGTTGTCCATAGAGGGCGACACGGTTACATCTAGACTGCTGTATATGACTCCAGGCTGCCGCAGGTTATTCAGTCCCACAGTTCCTCCTGCTGAGCAGGAGATGGGTAGTGCCGCTGCCTGTTGCTGAGCCAAAGTAAAATACTGCCTGAAGACAAATGGTCAGTCCTTCAAAACCTGAAAATCAGTCTAAGAAATTATAATTTGGTGATGAAGCTCTTCAAACCAGATTTGGGAGAGGGGCTTTGGGAATGCCATTATTATATTGGGGTGGGGCTAGAGGGAGCGAGCAGAGCAAAGGAGGCTTGGAACAGTTTTAATTCTGCAGCATTGTGTTTAGTCACTGAGCCCACATGCATTCATGCTGACAAGTCACAGGCACCGTCATCCATACACATTCCCTTATATTTGAAACCTCCGGTATTATAGGAACTGTTTCAGTTAGACACACACACACACACTGTCACACACATTTTGTTGTGTCTCTGTTTTCATTGAGCAAGATACTTTATGAATATTCAACAGTTCTCTTAAGGAGCCCAAAGTTCTTTTTGTGTTTATATTGTTTGATTTTTTTTTTTTTATGGTCCAACAAATTAAAACAATTAATAAATATTATGTTGAAGGTAATATTTATCAGTCAGTAATGACTTAATGTGCATTTGTGAAAAAATTGCCTTCATAATAGTCAACACTCATGTCACAGAATGATCTTAGTGAATTTAGCGCTGATAAAGTAACAGTCAGTTTTTTCATATCAAATCAAATCTATCAGTCAAAGAGAAGCAAGCAAATTAAAAAAGAGAACCTACTGTCTGTAAAAACTGGCATCTCCGAAGAGAGATGAGAAGGATGTGTCAGGTTTCGCTTTTTCTTCTAACTGGTCCACTTACCACAATATTTGGTGTTGGAGTGCCTGCACACACACTTGCACAAAAAGTGTGTTGTCCAGTGTTGGAGCTGCCATCAGTTCAGAGACATTAAACTACCAGAGAGAAGTGCTTTGACAGAAGTTCGGCGAAGGAAACTGAAGCAAAGGGGAACCTTTAATTGAAAGTGTCACTAAAATCAAGACGTAATCGTATCAAACTTGCAGGGATTCTCAAGACAAGGCTCAACCAGTATCAGCTCAGTGGGCATGAAGGATAAGAGGGTTAGAACAGAATGAGGAGAGGAGAAAAGTGAGCAGTGTAAATAAAGAAAAATACCTTATATTGGTATATTAAGTTCCTATTTGAGTTGAGAAAAGTGCAGAGTGTTCTCTGAGTAGAGATTTAAACTGACATAAGGGCAGGTGTGCCTGTCCGTGTGCATGCTGTGCTTGTTTTTGTAAGTGAGCATGTGTGAGTGAGGGTCTCTTGAAGGCAGACGTATGTTTCGAAGATGTCGGTGAAAGTTCCCACGACTTGAGGATTGTGTGCGAGTGAGACAGCCGAGCAGGACTCGCAGGTTGATGACATTAGTGCCCTCCATCATGCACCTGACATCGCGTGTACTGCTCTGAGCATACCTTCTCACCACAGCAGCCCCCCCCATCACCCTCGCCCCAGCATCCTCCCCCACTGTGTGCACTCCACCTCACCACAGGGGCCCTGGGGGGGCAGACCCATATGTGTGTGGATGCGTGCGTTTTGGTTTGATAGTGGAGCCTCCCTGCGCTTATAGTATCACGCACATCTAAATGGTTTGGTGAGATGGCTCAGTCAGTCTCTGTTCTTCATCCCCATCTCTATACATCGTTTCACTTCCCCCTCAGCAAACACACAAGCACACATACACACCCAAAACAAACAAGCAAACAAACACTGTCCTCTGATGCTGCTCAAAGGGCATCCGCAGACCACAGTACAACCTGACACAGTACAGTGACAGTAAAGCACAGTAGGTCTCCACTGGCTAAACACTCAATAAATGTTTAAATATCAAATAAAGGCAAAGCAGTGCAGGTTCCAGGGACAACTAATGGCAGCTGACTGTATTTGTATCCCGTGCTATATATCATAAAACAAATCACAGCAAACACTCAACACACGACACTTTGCTTTTCTTCATTCTTGGAAATATGTGTGTGCTGTGACATAAAGTCAAACGCAATCACTGAACAGTCATGTTGGTTTACTGACTTGTTTAACTGCACTTTTCTCAGTTAGGGGGGAACATTTTACATTTTTAGTTTAATCAGTTACAAAGTAATTCCCTTTTAACCATACCAAACAAGGCAAAAGGGGTTCATTAGTGCAGCTTTAAATTATTCATACACAAAATATAGTCTGTGCATGTAGTTAAAAACAAGTTTTATTGCTGTTACAAATACTACCAAAAGGAAATGTAGTATTACCTGTGATCACTTGATTAAAGTCACTAGCTCAAGTAGGGATACATGTCGGTCTGAAGCACATTTTGACTTAAATGAAATGAAAATCTCTCATTCTTCAGTTGAGCTTCGTTTATAGCAAACCACATTTCAATATGTATTGCAGTTGAATGTGGCTGCGTTTCCAGTCTTTAGATATGTGGTTAACCTGACCTCTGTCTAGCAAGAGTACTGCTGATTGTTGCATGTCCTTTGAGAGAACTGTGCCCCAGTAAATTACCCACCATAAAGTTTTTCATTAAAGTGAATGTAAATGATGAATAAATTGATCGTCGGTCAACAGCGTAAGATGCTAATCCCAGCAGTACATGGATCAAAACTTCACCAGCACATATGGTTTAGAGATGTGATCTGTCTCGGCTGAATTTGTCTTCACATACGCTCTCTCTCCATATTGTTTGTGGTTTTAAAGGTTCACAATGAATTTGTGAGGAACATTGAAAACACCTCAGTGGAGGGTTTAATACAGAAGCTGGCTGAGAGCAAAGGAACCGGCAAGGAGAGACCAGGTAAGCCACTACCGTCTTTCATGTTTCTTTCCAGTAGTCTCTCTGTGTGTGTGTGAAGGCAGTAGCTCCAGACAGTTACTACACTTTGTCTTGTAGAATCAGTTTTAAATCATCAGACCAGAATCTTTGTCCTTGTGCTCTCACAGTCCTTTCAATAAGAAATTGTTTTATACCCTTTCCTTGATCTATTCCTCACTATGATTTTATCAGGAATGCGGAGACTTGTTGGACTATATGTCTTGGTTTTTGTCCTGATATGCAATGTGACTTATGGAATCTTAGTTAGCCGCATGCTCGTTGCGGAGGGTGCTGCAAACACCCTTGCACACTATCAAACCCCCCTGCAATTACATCACTACGCCAGCGTGCGGGAAGGATGCTTGGCTCTTTGCTAGTGATTGGCTTGGTAGTACCATGTGACCTATATCTAAACAAACAGGGATAATGTGTTTGCTGCATGGATGTAAGTTGTGGTGGTATGTTTAATAAATGGCTTTATACAGTGCAGTCAATAACAGCAAATCATGTAGACCCAACACTGAAAGATATTACCCAGTTCTCTTAACCAGGAACTCAGAGAGACGAGGCGGACCACTTGGATATATAAAATAACCGTGCTGGTTTATTCAAAGGATCACAGGTAAAATTAACATTACACGTCCAGGTATCTTCCACCTCCAATACTGCGCGCAGACAGACGGAGCATGAAAAAGACCCTGAACCCAAGATCTCTATACAGTTTATCTGGTTTGGGCTAACCCCATTCTACACAGGCACGTCAAACCGTGACGTCACCTGATATAACAATAGTCAAAACATGGAGAGAATCAATGTGTGTGACTGTTGATCATGTGGTGTGTATCTAAAAACATACAGGACATTCAGGGACATGTCCAGACAGTAAGCCTCGGAAGACATTATGATTAAGATTACGGCTGAACATATCATAATAATAGCAATATTCATCCTGCCTGCTGACTTTTTCTATCTAGTTGTCCTTGAGGCCCACATGCAGCCTGCAGAACTCATGACAATGAACTAATCATTTAACAGCCTTAGCTGGACATCCTGTCTCCACTAAACTAATACAACAAATATCTAATCAATATCTATCTGACTAAGAAATTACCTAACAACACTTTAATGCAGCATCCTCCACATCTCGTCATTTTTGATGTGCATCGGTTTCACAAGTTTAACGAACTGTCCATCTTCTCTCCGCATCTGGTTTAGAATCATTTTTGATGTGCATCAGTTTCACAAGTTTGACGAACTCTCCATCTTCTCTCCGCATCTGGTTTAGAGGACGAACAGTCTATCGTCTTGGCTTCCTGCATACGGTGGATATCACAAACACAGAAACTCCTCTTTCTCCTCATCATCCGAATTTCATTCCCTCTACGATGCCTTGCACTGAGTATGAACACAATGATGGTTGCGGGCCACACAAGCATGGCCGTAGAGGGGCCCGAGCACATAGTGACACATGTAGCCTTTGTACAGGCGTGTGCCTTTCTAAACTATGTCCAATCAATTCTGCAAAGGGTCTGAATACTTTTGTAAATGAGTAATTTTGATTTTTAATAAATCTTGGTCAACATACTGTAGGTGTTGATGGACAATATCTCAAGTTTATCCTTTTAAAATTCAGTTAAACTAAATTACTCAAGGGAGCGAGGGAATGGGCTTCTGCCTGTTGTCTTGTGGGAAGGGGAGGGGTGTTTAGAGAGGGGCAATTAGAATTAGGAGAGGGCCATCAGAGTCAATCGTAGTAATCTGCTGTAAATATAGGCAGGCTTGGCATTCCAGTAAGCATGTGACACGCAGGCAGCTTTGTTTGCAGACTAGGCAGGCAGAGCCAGGCTTTTCATGAGGTCAGAGCTCAACAATGACTCCTGTGTAAACCTCACCCTGCCACAATAATCAAGGCAATATTCCTCTGACTCCTTCCTGGACTGTGCCCCTTTTCCTCTTGCTCTCTCTCTCTCTCTCTCACACACACACACACCCTTGTTTTTGTTGTTTACCAGGTCCCTACATAGACTTACATTCTTTTCCAGGAGACTTACCCTAACCTTAACCAGAACTTCTACTTGCCTAACACTTAACTAAATCCTACACTTGCTTTAACCTTACACCCCATCGTTTTCATACAATTTTACAAACTACATTGTAACTTCCGGTCCGCACAAAGATAGTAACACATGGATTTTGGGCTGCACAAGTATTGAAAAACAAGGCCACACACACACACACACACGCACAGCTCATTCATTGATAGTTACTCTTGTAGCTGTTTTTGTAGCTCTGAAGCTCAATGTTCATGTGCAGTCACCAGTTTTATAGATATTAATTTGTGTGTGGAATATGATGCTCTCAGCCTCTGCTTCCATGATGCTAGTGTAAAGCTTTGTTATAAAGGTCCAGTTATTTGACTAGTCCTGTTATTTGTATGCTACATCAGGTCACAGGCACAGTGGGTTCACCTCTGCTGTGTTTGTGTGTACACAAATGGTGATCCCTGTTTCCAGACGCTGCATTCAAGGAGTGGTGGCCGTCATTTATTTGGACAGCAGATTTAATTGACCCTAAAAAAACGGTCACAAAATTCCTCTTGTATCAAGCTGCTGATTGGGGATTGCGATGCAGCCCCAGCCCTGTCAGAAAAATAACCTGTCTGTCCCCTGATTAAATAGCTGAACGGATGGCTGGTCCAGGGCCTTTAGAAAGAGAGAGGTTGAATAAACTTTCTTTTGCGGAAGCAATCCCAAAGTGACACGCTGCGAGGCAGGGGGGTTTGGAGTGTTCCAATGATATCCAGCTGAGCTGTCAACTGGCAGTGGGCCAGACACGCTAACCCCCTCCACCCCCCTCCCACTCCCAGTGCCATGTGAAGCATATGCAATTTAAAAAAACCATTCTCCACTCATGCGTGACTGCATGCTTCCCTCACAGAGAGTAGAAAGAAAAGAAACATCTTCCCCTGTATAAACAAAGTCGTCTGTCTGTTTAGGAGATGTTTAAACAGTTCCTAATGTCTGCCCAGATCTAGGTAATATTCATGTGTCTGGTGTTTAGACTTTTTTTGCAGGTGGTGTGCATAAATATTGTCAGATGCAATCACAAGATGCTAGCGGCAGAGAGTTCCTGCTCTGCCTGGGCCTTACGTAGATTCACAGCATTTGTCAAACATCCCAGAGCTTGAATAAAGAATGCAATGTGTAATTTTCCAGTAATTTCCCCCTTTCTGGGTCTTTTTTAATACTTTTGTTTGACAGTATCTGCAGCTGATGTAGCTAATGAAAGATGATGTCAAATGAGATAATGATTATGAGCTTCCTCTCCAGGAAAAGACACAGTACACCTCAAACTTTAAATATTCCTACCTGTTTTATGTCAGTACAGCGACTCTCACACTTCCTGCCTTGAGAGAAAGCTCTTCAGTGAGCACGCCAATTTTGTCTTGACTGGCACACATACACAAAAAGATGTTTGTGTTCATGTTGTTGTGTATTCGGTGGTGGTGAAGAGGCCTGATAATGCATAGTAGAGTAGACTGGTCATTGGTGTACCTTATTCACTTCACTTGGCGTGATGCCTGCCTCTCGTGACTCTCTGCTTTCCCTGCACTTCACTCAGCATTGCGCACGCCAGACAATGAGCCAGTGCTGCATGTGACTGGCGTCCTCCGGGAGACTGCGTTGTGACCGCTGCTACTGTATATGTTTTGAATTAAAATATTATTAGCTTTGTTGTTTTCAGGTCAATGCACGTTGGTGTATTGGACGTATTGCCACAGGGTCCTGCCCCATCTCTCTCTCTCTTGCTCTGCCTCTGCTGTATCTACTGTATGTGTGTTGTAGTTAGCAGACAAACAGATCATCATCCCAGTTTGTTTCATTGCATAGCAGAGGTGTCAGTCTTTCTAATACAGATAATAACATCACACAAACAGCCCAACGTCCTGGATTGACACACGTGCACATTGCACCTCTTGCCTCTAGTTTTTCTGCAGCTGTTAGTGCGTGTTTGTTTGTGTGTGTGTCTATATTAAACTGCTGACCCTTTGAAAAGTCTCCTTAAATGTTTCTGAAGAGATACTTGAAGCATGAGAATCCAAATGCAGGGCACTGAAGGAAAAGACGTATAACTGATGAATAGAAAATTAAGTGTGAGCTTCTTTTGTTGCTGTTTTTCATCATATGAATGATGTAACCAAATAACCAAACTCAGTGTTGTTTTTGTTCAAATAAATGAATGGCTGGTTGTGCTCCAAGAGATATCAAGGCCATTAGGTGGAATAGATCTGATGATGTACTGTGTTAGTTCAGGTTACTTTGGAAGGCGTTGCATGATTGTTAATTAGTTTTATGGGGTTAAGACTGTTCTTAAGTATAAGAGAAGATTTGTCTGTGGTTTTAAACTACCTGACATCGTGGGCTTGTTTGTCTTATTGTAATAGGGTTAGTGACTTTGATGTGTCCCATGTGAGCAGGTTTCCTTTCAGCTCAGTTAGATTCATACCTGCTGTTTGCTGTGAATACCAGGGCTCCTGTGTCGATGAAGAATTGGGTTGTGAGTTTGGTAATTCATGGGTACCAAGTGGATTTATTTTTTTATGCATCACTGTGCAGAAGACTCAATACTGTAAAGTAGTGCTGTGTGTCCCTAGGACAGAGTGTCACGTCATTGTGACAGCCACCAGACACACAGTTGACTGTTTTTGACCCTGTCGGCCTCTGGGACCAGCCTGGCCCTGTTTGTAAACACACTGTATGGCACGCTATGCTGCATGTTGTGTGTTTGCCATAGTGTATTTGTGCTGTGTGTGTGTGTGTGTGTGTGTACTTTTTGGGTGATGTACATTCACAGCAGTGGGCCTTCGACACTTTCCCATATTGAATGATTTCAAATGATGTTTTTTTTTGTCTGATTAGGGCCCATTGAGTTTGAGGAGTGCAATACAGCTATTGCTACTGAAGGTAAGTTACAGATTTAAACATATACTGTACATGATAGGTTTTAGCCAAATACTTAGGAAGTGGAACTTGACTAAAGTAAGACCTTTAATGTGGAATGAAAGTTGTTAAGCCCACAAATTTTAGATATGATTAAGAATAGATTTAATATCCTTTTGTGTCTGTGGTTAAAAATGCTTTGCTTGTGTTTTAAGGTGCCAAACCCAGAAGGCGCAAACCATTTGGCATCCCAGGTCGTAGGAAAGATAAGGACACGGACTCCACGTGAGTGAGGACCTTTGCATCTCCAATGCACCACACAGTTTGTACCGCTTATTTTTGTTTTTCCTCCTGTGTAAAAAATGTATATTTTCTCATGGTCATGTGACCGTTTTGTCTTCTAGGGAGTCTACAGAAGTTGAAGCTGCTGTGAGTATAGTCTTGACCTAAACAGTCACTGATAGATTTGTGTTTACTTGAATACAGCTTGTGTATGTTATTTTGATTTCAAACAGAAGGAGGTGGGAAACACCCTTGTTCATTTTGTTCTGCTCTGGATGTTACTAACTGAACACGTGGCTGTCTGTCTCTCTCTGTGTCCCCTCGTTTGTTATGTAGATTTGCTTGTTTGTTCATCCATTTCTTTCTGTTTGTGCTGGTAGAACACCGCCAATGGTGCTCCCCCTGGATACTATGGGGCCATAGACAATCAGAACGCTGTAAGCAAGCTAATACACACAAACACGCACAAAGTAAATATTCATATTCAGACTAGTATGTTTTATAAACACTTGAAAAAGGAAAATATGCATGCTGTTTGTTTCATTGACACTATATTACTGCAAAAATATTTTTTCTGCCCTGCAGAGAAAAGGAATCCTCTACAGTAGCAAAGGTTAAATGTGAAAATCTAAGTTTAAAAATATTAAGTAGCACCAATTAGCTCATGTTGCAATTGATGGCACTGTTGCTGAGATGTATGTTGGTCAAATACGGTGTGTGGGTGGATCCTGGGACATTATCCAGGGCTGCTTCTTTGGGGGGTGCAGGGTGGAATACTGGAATGAAATTATTCTCTGTGTATTTTAAGTTGTTACAAATGTGCTCAGCATTTCCAGTTTGTTCTGATTTCCATCTGTTATAATTATAGATGCTGTATTCTGTATATAAATACAGTAAACAGCTAATGATCATTTTCTTTCTGCAAAATGCAAAGAGAAAAACATCATAAATGAAAATTGGTAAACTGATTAATGATGATCATAGTAAGGCAAACTAATTTTTTTATGTTTAGTGTCATTAAGAAGGTTAATCTCCAAAGAGATAATTGGCTGAAACCATTAAACAGGTACTAGCTAACAGTTAATTGTTTGTCCTGTTTTGAGTTGTACAATATTACAGGTACGGACTAATTTAAAACATGTTCCCGCCTAAATTTGCTGAAACTGTAAATGCAGTTTAAAAATGAAATAAAATGTTTTTACAACAAGATAAGCCAAATAGAAAATATAATTTTGGTATCATTTAGCTTCTTTTAAAGTGTATTTATAAAGGATACACAAAAGTACATTTTATGTTGTGTATAAAGGTTGATTTTGAAGATGGCTTTTTGCTCTTGTGTTTTGTAGAATGTTCCCCAGGTTGATGCTGAGGGCTTTTGTATCAGACCAGAGGTAAATGATAACGATATCCTTTCTCTTGTTGCTGTTCACACTCTCAGGTTTAGTCCAGCTTGTAAGACATCAAGGATTTATTGCTCTTTGTTTTCCTGTTCACACCCGTCTGCCGTCTGAGGCCAGGACTTAATAAAACCGGACTGCAGATGATCTTTCTCTGTGCTCCCCCCTCTTGTCGTTGTCGCCTTAACTTTTTTGCTCACATGCCAAAGAGAACTCCTTCTATTCGTCCAGCGACTCAGAGGATGAAGATGAGCCCAGGAAGTTTCACGTAGAAATCAAGCCTGTTCAGCCAAACAACGGCGCACATCAGAACCGAGCCACCATTGACGAACTTAAAGCCTCCATTGGAAACATCATCCTGTCTCCCTCAAACTTGGTATGGCTTCATGACGTATTAAAAACACCAAACACCAAATGCTAATGCTAAACTCCTAAGCACAAAGCTGTAGCTGTCCTGCTCTGCTGCACCAGCAGTCTGCGCTGCTCTGCAACACTAGAGGGCAACAGGAGAATATCAAACTAGGGTAGAAGGGAACGCCATGTAACCAAATGAGCTATCCCTCCTGTAGATGTTCGCCATTAGTCACTCTTTCTTGAAGCTTATTTTATTTACATTGGAAAGACATATGGTTTATGTGTAATTTGTTTCATATGCCGGATTGCCATCTGATTCAGTAAGGTTCCTGTTTGCCCACATTTGATGTTGTGTCTTTACTTGGATGTCAGTTTCATGTTCAACAACCTTGGGATCACTTTCTTTAAAAAAAATTATATCAAGAACCCAGAAACAATCATTTCTGAGTTAAGTATCTGTTGTTGTTGTGAAGCAGCTGCACGCTCAGTGTCGTGAAGGGGCCCTAGTGGGTTTCACCCGCCCCGTACTAAACACATGTCACGATGTCTTCCCGGCTTTGGCTCTCTCCCTTCCTCTTCCTACACCACTGTTTGTGTTGTTACTCACTGTTTTTTCCTCGTTTCTTTGTTTGCTTTCACCCTGGGTTTTACTGGAGACCACTTGTTCTAGACAGGACTCTGTTGTGGTTGTTTATGAATACTTTATGAGGTTAGTTGCCCTGTTTTTACAAATGTTTTCTTTTTCCCACCTTAGAAGTTACAAGTTTTTAGAGTGTTTTTTCAATTTAATGTGACACAATTCAGGAGGAAAGATGTTCTCTTTTAAGCCTTTGTATATTGCATTTTGGTTTGTCAAGATCCAAAACCACAATTACCTTCTCATCCTAAATGTACAAAATACACAAACTGCTTTGTGCATTTGTCTGTTTTGCACTGAAATACCAAAATAGTCATTACATTATATTTGCCTTCCTCTCTGTTCAGCTCTTTTTCACTCCTTTTTCCTATTTTTATACTCGGGCAAGTTTTGGATTAAAGTAAGGGCAAACGTCCGAGATGGTGACGAACGTTGCATCATCTGGTGCAAATTATTGAGAGATTTTCTTTCTTTTCCTCTGTGGTCATTTTTCTGTCTTTTTCATTTCTCCTCCTGTTTGGCTGCCTCTCCACAGTGTTCCCTTTTGTCGAAATAGCAATGGAAGTCGTGTGTGTGTGTGTGTGTGTGTGTGTGTGTGTGTGTGGCCAGCGAGAGCCGTAATTGAACCCATTTGCCGCTTAGCGCCTGTGGGACTAAACCCTGCCCTCACAGCTCTACAGTGGTTAAATGCTTTTGCTATGTTCCTTAAAACCATTTTGCTTCTTTTCTTCCCTCCTCCCTTGACAACCCCTCTAACCTTTCTCCGTGTGCAAATAAGCTCTTTATTGAAATTGATGATCTAAGTTTCCATTGGGTTGGTGGCCCTCAGGAGCATATCTTACATATCTTGTGTTATTCAGCATGACACGGCAGATTTATGTACCAGAAAAGTTTCTGTGAAGGAAGTTGTTGAAGTGTCGGGGGGGCACGCTCTCTGTTGTCCCCAACTGATCGTTGCATGGGCTTTGATGCGCAGTTTAGCACCGCTGAATTTTTCACCCTAGGTTTAACGTCTGGTATGTGTGAGCGTAGTCCTGTGATTTACTGTCTTTAAGTCTGAAGTGGAAACTTCCCTCTTCTAAAGGGGATAATTAATAATATAGCATTCAACTCGTGGGCGTGTTTATATATATATATATAAAATTACTGTTAAAAATTCTCCAAAAAGGGACAAATCTACTCTCAGATGTCGAAATTAGCAGATCTCAGTGTTTTTTTCTTTTTTACTGTGGTTTCATATATTTGAAATTTTAAACCTTTGTCTTTATTTCTCATTTAAAGGTTTTATTTTTATCAGCAAAGTAAACAAAGCTCTGGTAAATAATAGTTAAAAATTAGTTGTGGGTCTCCCGCGTCTCTTATTAATTAATGTCTTTTTGTTTTTTAGGGACAGATGCGGAGGAACCAGTCCAGTGAGTATTTTCTCTGTCTGACCTCTCTGTGTCTGTGTGACTGCTAAGGAGAATCGACTGTACAACAGCTCAACTACATTTTTCTTGGCCTGAGTTGGTTTTAAAGAGGTTGTCTTTAAAAAGAAAAATCCAGAAAGCTAGCCAAAAGCAGCATATCCCAAGAAAAAGTAAATAATTGTTTCTTTCTGTAAATGTGAGTTGGAAGCACATTTCCCTCCTTTAGTACAAAGGTAAATTGTTTTATTAGCTGTTTATATTTTGATTTTGTCAGAAATTAGCTGTTCCTTTCTGCCAACTAACAGTTTTCTTTGAGTTTACTGTGTTTGTTTTCTCCCCAGATATTTGTCAAATGCTTAGAGAATAATAATATGTCCAGGTCATTCTCCATGTGCGAAAATATAATAACCTCGACTATTAATCCAGAAAGTATTTTTTTATTTGTGAAGTTTTTCTTCAAAACTTTCACATATTGCATTTGTATACATTTTAATTATATTCACATTCTGCTGCTGAAACACTGGTAGTGTTGAGATCACTTTACAAATGTAATGGCACTGATGTATACTTCACGTACACAGGAGTACCTACATTAAGCTCTAAGGCTCGGGGCCGTGGTGAGTATGTTTTCACTGCAGTAGTCAGCCCCTGCCTCCCCCCCCCCAAATATCTGCCACAGCCTTCATCTCTGTCCCCTCATAGGAGCCTTTCACACAGCTGCTGCAGCCATATGGCACCGGCTAACACCACTGACACCATGTTCTCTCTGCAGACTTTCAGTATCTCATTTTTAGGAGTTTACTTACATATGTGGTTATAAATAGGGTCCTCTCAGTTGCATCTTCTTGGTTCTTATCTGTAAGTGCTGCTTATATGGATCTTTACAATGTAATGTAACACTTTAGGCAGGGGCACAAAGTAACAAAGCAATACCTCTTTTTAATTTTAGTTGCTGAATAATCCTTCCCCTGTTTAAAAGTGCTACCACCACATTAAAAGCACATTAGAAGGTTGTGTTAACCCTTTTGCAGTAAGGCTTTACCATAAGGCAAAATGACTCTGTATAACGTAAATCTTACTGCAAATATATTTTTATGACTTTGATTTGTTCAGCTTGAACTTCAGTTTATATTTCTGGTTTAAGGTGTGACATACTTTAAACTGAACTTTTGGCAAAAATCTTTGGATACTAGTCGGTGACAACCTCTTGTGTTGGGTTTTATTTTTTACGGGCTGTGGACGTGTGCTTTCTGTCATCACGCAGCGAAGGTCTGTTGGTCTTAATTTTCTCTTTTGTTTTTTTCTCACTGCAGGTGATGAACTGGCAAAGACCAGGGTACCAGCATCATTTGAGTGAGTATTAGAGTAAAACATCAACATTTTTACAGCATCCACTGTAAATCATCCTTGTTTTCTAAACGGTACAGATGTTTTCTGGAAGTGTAATGACATCTGATGTGATTTGTCTGACAGACTGACCAACAATGACTTTCTGTCTCTGGACCCGTTCAGTCCAAATCTAGCAGCAGGCTCCTCCTCCTCCGTGTCCTCATCAGCAGGTAACATTCCTGATTCCTGTGTACATATCATTCTCTACAACTTAAGATTTTACATTTGTCTTCACTTTATATCATGGAGTAACTCTCAAGAAATTGTAAACCACCAATGTAAGGTTACCCAACTTAATTTAAACCATTTCTTTTTAAAGCCTAATATTTAATGAGACAGTCTGAATCGAACAGGGGAATGGCCAATAAAACTCTGTATAGAGGTAAATACAGAATGTATACAAAACCATGAAGGATTATAACTTTAAGGAGCAACCACTCTACAAGTAGTGATTTAGTCACTTTCGCTGGTCTGACATCGCTCATCTTTTCCTTTTTGCAAGCTACTCAGCGGGAAGCCTTTGCTCTCAGAAACCGACTCCTGAATTAACAGCGTATTTGACTTTAGGGAATTCAAATTGGCAGGGTTTTTCTATCCCAGTTCACTATTTGTTTTTTCAGCCATTTATCCGTGTTGCGCTGTGTAGCTGTCTGAGTTTTTGTTTCCCAACAATCTTCCTGAAGTGTCCACAATCATACTTCTCTAAGAATCATTTGAGGACTGAGCCTGTTTTACTTTATCTTCACGGTGTTTGATGCAGAAAAAAGTGCGATGTGTGATTCTCGTGGCTGTATGTGCATTACACCAGTGTTTTAAAGAAAGTGACATTAGTGTTGACCCATTGCCTATTGGCTAAACATAATCCACAGTTGATTGGCACCCGGTTGATGTCAGAGGGTCGGCAGTAAAGCTCACTGGCACTATGTTGTCAAACAGTGTTTCGTTACGTCAAAGGTCTCATCTTACAAGTCAAAAGAGCATCATGAAGTGGTCAGTTAAGATGCACTGAAGCCCCCTATTAAATCTCCCATTGTACAGCAGAACTATCAGCCCCAAACACACATGACACGTTAAGCAAATCTAGACTGAGAGGTATTAAAAATATTAAACTCTCATTGAATGAATTGTAAAAAATGTTTGGACTTTTTTTTTTAATTTATATATTTATTTTGTGTTCATGGATATCATTTTTTACATTTTTATTTTGTTACTTGTTCTTTTATTACAGTGTCATTTTTGTGTTTATAATCCTTGATGTATCATTGTTTTTTTTTACGTGCTCTTGTTAGACCTTGCCTCTGTCTTCTTTTCAATACCTCCATCCCCATCTATTCTGATGAATGACATCTTTCTGCCAGGGGCATCAGGTAAAACGTGTGTGCTCCATTTGTCAGACAGTAATTTAAATGTAAATATTTCTGAAAACCTTACGCCATTCATCAACCAAGGTTTTGCATTACATTTATGTTTGATTATTTCCCAGATGCATGATGTAAAAATGTTTGGTTGAATTTTTATAACCATAATCTGTGTTGTCAGAATAACTTCTGCTATGATCATTAGGATGCTGTGTGTCTAAAAATGGGGTCATTGCTTTGCACATTTATTCCAGATAATATACTGCAATTCATTTTAGTTACATGCATGGTATTACTCAGCACCAAATCTATGGTTACACACAGTTTCAGTGTCTGTCAGTGTAGTTTTCACATCTAAACAAGTAAAACATGTCAAAATTGAAACCACAAATTAGGTAAATTCATATAATAAGGTTTTAATGGTGTGTGTGTTTGTTTAGGTTCCACCATTTGTAATCTAACAAAGCTTAGATTTAATGTTGCTTGATTCGACATCTTGAGTTGTGCATCACCATCAAATATCCCCAAAAAGTTCACAGCAAAATGTTGCAAAGACATAATAAACACAACAATTACAAATGCAGTCAAATAAGAGTTTAATATACTGTATCAGGGTTTGTCAGCTATGACAGGTCTGACAATTCAATGTGTGTGTGTGTGTGTGTGTGTGTGTGTGTGTGTGTGTGTGTGTGTGTGTGTGTGTGTCTATTAAAGCGACATGATACAACTATAAAGGATCCAAACAGGACAAACTGAAAGGGTTTAAATTACTACTCCACTGGTATAAAAACTGCAAAATAATTACATTTCTCAAGGGGAACGACCTGGAAAAATATGACAACACATGCCAAACACAAGTGAACCACATCTGGAAAGATGGAAAAAAAGCAATGATCTAATAAAATTACCATGAAACTACCAGGTTATTTATGACTGCAGTACCCGTACAGGGACCACCGGGACACTTAGCATTGTGGGAGCCTGGTTATTTGTTCTGGCTATTTATTTATTTATTTGTGACTGAATGTCTCAAAGGTTTGCTCTCTGTACTCTGCTTTGTATTTGTCGTTCATCACTGTCAATCATATCGCCTCCTTCAGCTGAGACAGTGCTGAGACAGGAGCGCGCTCCTCCCTTGGCGGAGAGCCAACAGTCCAAAGATGTGTCCTCTTTTTCTTCATCAACATCCTCTCCCTGGGATTCACCAGAAAACCCTTTCCAAGCACTCAAACCCTTACCAGCGAGGGCCCAGAGCGCCCCCATCACCCTGCCGACTGACCCAGTTGACCCCATCAAAAGCCCGGCTGCTGCTAGCCCTCCAAAGAGCAGCAAAGCCTTCTCCTCTGTGTCCTGGTCCCAGAGCCAGTGGATTTCCTTCAGTGATGGGTTCGCTCCCCCTTTCCGTCAGAGCGTAGGGTCGGCTGTGAAGGAGCTCCAGAGGCCTCAGTCCAGCTCTGGCAGGTCAAAACGCTTTCTCTCTGATGACTCTGCTGAAGCACCGGGCAGCAGAGAGGACAGCAGCCCCAGCTGTTCTGTCTTCTCTGGGATCACAGACAGGGCGATGGCAGCAGCTCAGTCAAGCAGAATATTCAATGGTAACATTATTAATGATGTAGGAGACATGTCTTATGCCTGAGGTTTGCACTTTTATTTTTCATTTATTTGATCTTTTCTTATTTTTGTTTTGAATGTCTTCTGTACGTTGTTGACTGATTAGTTTACAGACGCTTCTCTAACTCGCTGCCTGGTTTGCAGCTTGTTGATTGTTGAGTTTCTGTATGCAACAATTTATTTTGGATTGTTTTATGTTATGATTTTTAATATTGTTTTGCTGTTGTTGTTGTTGTTTTTTAGATGTTTTAATGCATGATGGTTTTGCAGCTATTCCAGTGAAACCTAGTTGTATATTTACATGTTTTTATGTATCTGGTTCCCATGCTGACTAAATGTAACTAGCCAGTGACACTTGTATGTGTTTCCCTGTGTAGTTCCAGTACCGAACCGACCTCCGACCCCTTTGACAGCTGGAGCCCTGGTGCCCCCACCGCGACCCTCCTCCAGGCCCAAGCTCCCAAGTGGAAAACTCACAGGAATCAATGAGATTGTGAGTTATCATCTCAATGTGTGCAACATAACATGGTGGGGAACTGTTAAAATTCCATTCTGACATTGATATACTCCCTTCACTCAGGCTCGGCCATTCAGCCCACCCAAACTGTCCAATGCCAGCCCTTCTCCTCCTGCGCCACTTGCCCGGGCAGAGAGCTCATCCTCCTTGTCCTCAAATACCTCTCTTAGCGCCGCAAACACCCCCACTGTTGGTAAGCTTCCTCCATGTATAGGGAACCTCCTTGTGCTTGAGCTCCTTTTCTTCAGCTCCTCACCAACGTGTTGTATGTCATCGTCTCTGCACCACAATGTGCTGTTCTCTGCTTTTCAGTCTTTCCTCACTCCTTTTTCCTTCCTTCCCTCCCTAGCTCCTCTCCTTACAGGAGCTGAGCACACCTTTGCTCACCCCCTCTCCTCCCCAGAGCCAGAGCTGCTCTCCCTCTCTCCTTTTTTTCTACTAAGTCAAAGTGAGTCTGCCTTTCCAAACTCAAGCCTTTTCCTTCTCTACTCTGCATACGTTTATCTGATGCTAAGAATGCCACCATTAGGCCCTGTTAGTTCTTTGTCCATTTCAGTGTAGTCATATCAGTCTTGTCAGCTTAGGGCTCACCTGTCAACATCACGCATTTAAGAACTGGATTATAAATTGCCCGGCATGCATTTCATCACATTTGTGCTCTCTTGGCTTGTTTATTTCCTCCTTTCTTCTTTATGCCTTTATTGTGGCTTAAAGAGGATGATGATGATGTGTTCATAGTGAAGCTGCCTACCTTTGAGAAGCGCTGTGAAACAACAGCAGGTATGGTTGAAGTTTGTATTAGAGTAGTGTTCTCTGTATGTTACTAATCTAACAGCAGTCTGTTGAATGGGCTGGATGGACAACTGGATATATTCCTATGCAGTGATTACATTTGTATCTTGTGTGCTCTCGCTTTTCACCTTTCCAGACTGTTGTCACATTCATTTTACTGTCAACTGCATCAGCTTCAAACATGATAAAGTCTTTGTTAAAATAATGAAGTAACAAATGATTTTACTGGAACATCTCTCTGACAGACTAATAGAACTTAATTTTAACCACAGCAGCTGTAGCATAAATTGCTCTAAAACATATCTGATATCTGATCTGTTTATTTGAAATATAATGTACTGACCTCATGAAATGCAATAATATACATGTTCTTAATTAAGTAAGGCATCTTCACATGATCAAACCCTCCTAATTCTGATGTGAGCTTAAGATATCGCTGTTATTCAAGTCAGATCTGCAGCTGAGTCAACAGACTTTGTGCCTTTCTCATTCTCAGGGACGTCTCGCGGTCCCAGCCCTGTGACCCTGGCATCCCAAGATGCTTTGCCCATTGCTGTGGCCTTCACAGAGTCTGTTAATGCTTACTTCAAAGGAGCTGATCCCACTAAGTGAGTCTCACATGACCTCCTGCTGCGCAAGGACCCCAACGTCGACCTGCACGCATGCACATTTGTGTTTGTATTTGAGCTTGGGCTATAACACATATGATGTTAACAGTTATACAGTACATGGTGTTGAACCTCTGTCACATGCACTACACTCAGTAGACTCGGTAGGTTTGCAGGGTGTATTTCGTTCTCTCTCTGCATGTGTGGAATGTTTTGCATTAGTCTGACACCATTCTTTCAGAGTGGATAACCTCCACGGGGCAGATTATAGTCTGGGGCAGAGAAAACATACAACCTTTTATTGGTTAACTGCTGTTAAATTGCTGCTCTGCAAAAGGCTTATTTTTGCAGGGATTGGCAAATGGAACATTTCGTAAGCAATGGAGTGGAGACAGAGTGAGGCTGAGACCCACTGTGGGCCGGTTCCACCACAGCCTGGGCCGGACTTCTCGCTCCAGAAACTAGTTTAGAAACTGGATTTATATTGGAGAATAGGAACATATTAAGACTGACCAAAGTGAAGATATGTGTAGCCTAGAACTTAAGGCTGAACCAGGAGTCTGCAGCAGGTTGGATGTCCACTCTAAACAGACCTCGGTTACATATAAAGAGTGGATCGGTGAGCTCAAGTACGATCCATAATTAGATCATACATGTCAAATGTAGTTGTGCTTATGGAGATGAAAAGAAAAGTGGAGCAAGAGAACAATAGTTTTGATAACATGGTTCCAGTTTCTCAACTGTGAGGATTTTATACCTTTCTCTATTCTATATCTGTGCTTATTGAACAAAAACTAATCATTTTGAGGTTTAGATGTCGGTCAGAGGAAACAAAAACTCTGAAGATGTCACATTTCTTAGAGATTAATTCATAATCATTGGTTGCAGCTTGTCTGACTTGTGTTATTAATTCACATTCATGTGGCTGCAGGTGCATTGTGAAAATCACAGGAGATGTGACTCTGTCCTTCCCCGTGGGCATAATCAAGGTGTTTACCTCCAACCCCTCCCCAGCTGTCCTCACCTTCAAGCTGAAGAACACCAGCAGATTGGAGCAGATTCTACCCAACCAGCAGCTACTATACAGGTAAGTATTATTTTTACAAAGCAGCTAAAATACAAACAGACTTGTTTGCCTGGCAAGTGAGGATCTTAGCAGAGTTGATGACTTGCTAACTTGTCAGAGTCGTGGTTAAGTCAAAGAGGGATTTGGACTCGATAAATCGAGGAAATGTCGACTGCGTCAGTGTGAGGAAATTCAATTAGTAATCTGAAATAAACCTATCATTAAACTGTCAGGGAAGTATTTTCCACCAGACTTTAACAGCCAGGTTCTCAACAGCCCATGTCTCTTCTGAAATTCTTCGAGCCCTAATATAGGAAAGAACAGCAAACGTCACCTAACAGCTGCTTCATTTAACAGACACCGTTGTATCTCTCAATCCTTAACTTTTGTGTGTGTGGTTGTGTGTCTCGCTCTGGTTCTTCTCGGTTATCCCAGAACCACATGGCGGGACTAAATGAATCAAATGGAACTCTTGATCTACTAGCTGGTTGGATGTAACGAGGTCATTTATAAGCTACTGGAGCTTTACACATAAAGCCAAGAAGAGCAAAGAATAATAGGGCCTCTGCTTGTTCCTTGTGTGTCGATACGCTGTGTGTCTTTGTGTGCACATATCTTTGTGACGTTTCTCCTGTTTCTAGTGATCCTTCCCAAAGCGACTTAAATTCTAAGGACTTCTGGTTCAACATGCAAGCACTGACGGGCTACCTCAGAAAAACGTCAGATCTGAATCCTTTGTCCTCCTTCTACAATGTGGACATCCTAAAATACCAGGTCAGTCAACCAGCGTCAAACCAAGAACATAATAAGGATAACATAACTGTACTTAAAGTTGTGTTCCCGAGGTAAGGAGGTGTCACAGTATTGTTCTAGCTTTGTTTGTGTATTGCCAGAAATCGTTTGAAACTCCAGCCCAATGCATTGTTAGTCTACAATATTCTAATTGTTTAATGTCTTTGTCTGTCACACGCAGCCTCACAACCTTTTTCTGGACCAGGCTGAATTAATGTGTGGCCACTAACTGAGTTTTAGAATTAATTTACTACTATAAAACTCAGTGATAGTCAGGTTTAACCCTAAACACAGCTGTATACTGTAGGCCTCGTCCCAAAATCCTGTAGTCTCACACAACACGAAATGAAAGCATCATATTTAAAACATACCAAAAAAGTTTGTTTTATAGCTTCAAACTGGATTAAATACAATTTATATTTGACCTATTATGTTTGATGTGTTTGCATGGCCTGTGCCTGTCTTGTAGAAAGTGCTTTTATTCACTTGTCAGGTACCAAATGCAGCCCTAGAGTCGGCCAAGGTTACATGTGTTGTCAGGGATTCTCATTCTGTCACTGACCCTCCGGTTGGCACACAGCTTCACAAAAAGCAGTCCTCATCCTGCCACTCCATCATTTGGAGTTCTCTTGGCAAATAAATACAAGTTTTAGTTTTCATGTAGGAATAGAACAAAATATTTGCATTTGTAAGCCTGTAAAACAAACAATCCATAAATCTGCTAACTCAGCCCAAGAAACAATGTTCTTTTGTTGATTAAAGAAGAATTGGTTTCTGTCCTGGCTTCTGCTTATGTTTGACAACAGTCGGTGTTCAAACAGCTTTTGAACTTTCCAGGAAGCTGTGGAAGAACAGTTTTGTTTTTAGCTCACATCTGTGTTTTTCAGCACAACACGCCAGCTGTGTGTCGAAGCTCGAGCAGTGGATACGATTGAGTGACTTTTAAAGCCTTTTCTTTTATCAAGCATGGTGTCACACTCTCATTTTAGGAGAGGATATATAGGGAATATTATTTTGCACAGATCTGAAGCAGCTTTGTGACACTGTACCACCGTGTCCAGGTGTTATCTGATGGGATCCATTCCACTCCTCTCAACCTGGCTGTATACTGGAAGTGTACACCCAGTACGACGGACCTGCGACTAGACTACCGCTACAACCCGGAGTCCATGGCCTGTCCCGGGCCGCTCACCAACGTACAGATCTTAGTGCCTGTTGATGGAGGAGTCACCAACGTGCAGTCTGTGCCCAGCCCTATATGGTGAGGTGTGGAGCGCAAAAGTGTGAAGCACTCAAAAATATTTAATATGCCAATTTACCAAAAATGATTTTTTTTTTCTTATTTTAGGAATTCAGAACAGAATAAGTGTTTGTGGAAGCTAAGTGACATCTCAGAAAAGACAGAAAATGAAGGTAGGGAAACTTTTTCCTCTGTTTTCCATGAGTTTGTTTAATCCCTGTCCTACTCAGAGACAGTGTGAGCAGTGAGCAAGAGATCTGGATCAGTTTCTGGCAAGCGAGTGTATTTGTTTGTGTGTGCTCCCAGGTGCTGGTTCTCTGAGGGCCAAATTTGACCTGTCAAATGGCCCATCGAACCCCTCCACTCTGGCAGTGCAGTTTATGAATGAGGGGAGCACCCTGTCAGGAGTGGACATGGAGCTGCAGGGGACTGGATACAGACTCTCTCTCAACAAGAAGAGGTTTGCCACAGGTATGTACTATGCTTGACCATCCATATACACACCTTCCCATTGAATAGAATGGAAACGTCCGTCTAAACCTTTGACTGGTACTGCACAGTTAAATTCTACAAGTCTGCAAAGTGACTGGGCCTGAAACCTCTGTACCCGGTACATTTAATGCACCATCAACTCTGAATGTTTTCTTTTCTTTAGGTCGATATATGGCTGATTGCTGAGGTGACCCACCGCTCTCAAGAAAAAAAAAAAAGCACATGACACAAAACTTCACAAGGCCCCTTGAACCTCTTAATCCGTTTGAGCACAGCTGTGCGTTTGCCCTGGAAGTGAGAATCTCACTACAATAAAACAGCACTGAGTATTGAACACTGTTTAAAAAAGAAAATAAAAGAAAACTAAGATGAGCTTTCAGGAAGTGTGTAGATATGAAGTCTATTAATGCTTTCTTTCCAATTCAGTTTTGTATAGTCAGAAACAATTTATGAATTAGATATAAATCTATATTGTTTTTGAAATAATGAAAACAAAAAAGTGCACTAACAATCTTTCAAATGCTCTTTCTTCTCATATGTTATTTTTAAAAGCCTGTAAGAAATATAAAACGGTTTCTGTGGAAGAGAAGATTTCGTCCTCTCTCCCTCCGAAGTGTAAATATTAACACCGACTCTTCTGCTCGACCAGCTCTGACACGACTCCCACATCAGTTTCCTTTACTGATTTTTCTCTGTTACCCCTCATGATTTGTCTTTTTCGGTCATGTGCAATGAAGCAATGAAGGTAGAATCTGTCTTTAACAGTACGAATACTCACACACTTGTGGCACAAGCTCGACCTTTAAAATAACATTGAAGTGCTTTCAAAAAAAAAAGCAAAAAAACAAAAACCTCAGTGCCTCTTCTTATACTGTGGATTAATAGGCAACTAAAGTATGTCAATGTTTTACCCAGGTTTGGGTTTCCAGACTATGCTGCTTTGTGGTAAAATGCATAGTGTTTTCAAAAGAGTGACCTTGTAAATTTCCATTTCATTCATGGCTTCTGTTTTTCTTTTACATTTTTAAGGCCTTAATTTTTATTCTTCATAAATTGCTCAGCAGTCCTAAATGTAAAACATTGTGTCAAATGTTAGGTATTTTAAACAAATCAAGGGACTACAACACAAACTTAACGTTCAATGTTTTTAATCACATTTTTGTGCCCTGTTAATGGAGAAACATGTCTGAATCTAACTTTTCTCTATTTTTGTTTTGTATACTGCAGCACATTTAGTGAGAATAGCATCAACAAATTGCCAGTTGTTTTTTTTTTTTTACTCCTTTATGTGGATATTGAAGGGAAGTTGTCCCCTCTTTTTTACAACCCAGCTGTCTTCCAGAAATGAATGAGTCATGTTTGCCTTCTATGATTCAGTTTGATTATGTAACTGTTTTATATCTTATTTTCTATTGGATACTTGTCCTTTGACCTCTCGTATACTCAGTGCAGTAGACGATGAACAGTAGCACAGTAACGCCAAATGAATGATTGAAATGCCTTAGCTTCTCTACACTAAGTAATCCAGTGCTGCTGACTGTGGTTAGATGTGACAGCACTGTCGTTGCCCTGTGATAAATTATTGACCTGTCCTGCCTTGCACCCAGTGCATGCTGGGATAAGCAAGCACATGTGGGTATAGAAAGTGGATGGAAAGTTGCCACATTTGATTCTTGGTGCTTCATTTTTGTCTCTTACTGATAGAGGGCTGCTGCTATAGGGGCCATTGTACTTCTTGATGGAGTATTTTATGTTGTGTAGGACATTTTGTCATTGATCTCACTGATCCTTAAATTGGTTGGTGTGTTGGTGTGTGACATATCTGGAGGTGTGATAAGTCACCTGGAAGCTGTGATTGAAAATCGCTGAAACATTTGGTGGAGGACTTTCATACACTGTGCATCATGTGGCCAGCTGACCTCTCATATAAGATTGTAGCAAATAACCTTTCCTTTCTGACTTTGTATTACTGTGTCCTCAGTGCTGTAAAACATGGCGCAGTGTCGTTTTAACCGGTTTACAGATAATTCAATCTCCATACTTGATTCATCTGTCTCATTTAAAAACTGTTGGAAGCCGATGGCTCGGTTCATTTCAGTTGTCATATCTGGACAGGGTGATTATAACGTACTAGTGCACCTTCCCATTCAGCTGAATGAGAAAGTGTGTCCAGAGGTTTGGCTGGTACTGTATGGAATCACTTTTTAATGTTCTGCTTTTAAAACTCAAGCCTTTAATAATAATTTTGAGCCAGAAACAATTTAAATGGATGATGGGGAAAGTCCATTAAAGTTGTCTGCTGAACTTAAACTGCCAGACTGAACATCAGAAGATAGTTGAAATTAATGTGTTTACATAAAGTCCTAAAATTGTAGCACCAGACATTTGTACAGTGAGAAATCAACAAGTCACTGTGTTTCCTCCTAATGAATTATTTATATCAGTGGTTCTGGTCAGACAAACCAAATGCATCAAAGCAAACGAGCACACCGATTCTGTAAGTGTCATCACTATTAGCAAGCTGGTTCTTGCTGTCCCTACAAAACTTTTGAAATAGATTTTACAGGCGTCCTCCTTCATTCACTTTCTTTCTGTCTTTATATGTTTGTATTAAACAGAGTTTAAAAAGAGCAAAATTATGTAAATGATTCTCACATTGTACATTTTTACCAATATCTCAGCCACTTTTTGTCTCTACTTTATGATTTCTCATTGTGCCTGTATTAAATGTGTAATATATAAATATATACAAATATATGAAAATTACTACTTTAAGTGTGTTCTGTGTGATTTCTTTGAGCTGTGTGGCACTAGGGACGGCGATGCCAGTCACCTGGTTGGTATTGGATGGGGAAACACTGTAAGGGCCCCCCCCCCCCCCCCCCACACACCCCCACACACACACCCTGATGAAATGTTGCACACTGAAAAGTCAGAACTACAGGATATAACACTGAATTTATTATCAGTTACACAGGACCCTCATACATGTCAAAGGATTTGTATTATACTCTCCATCCAACTTCCAGGATGACAGAGCATGAAAACAAAGCTTGAAGACACCACACATGTTATTAATGTACTGTTTGTGCTGCAGCCTCATCCAGTGCTTTGCTTAGGAGGATGTATGCACGACTGAGTGTAAGCGCTCAGCACTACATCAACACCTTGTGTGTATTTACACACTCTGTCATGCCTTGTGTTCCTTGGCCTGAAGACCTCCTCCTTGCTGTTTGAAATGAGCTGCCACACTGCCACATGTGTGAGCCATCAGTGTTGACTCTGATTTTCCCTGTCTGCCTCACTCAGACAAAGAGGAAGAGATCTGAGGGTCTCTTGTGTATGTTATTCTCTGAAAGGCCAAAGTGAGATATGGGAGCTGAAGTCACATCCAAAACCTGTTGGTCCATCTGTACACGTGTGTGTGTGTGGCCATGCATTTTATACAACTTGAGAGAATGTGTGATGTGAGTGTGTGGGCAGTACAGGTAGCAGGCTGGTGCAGAAAAATGTATGAGAAGGTTTAAAGGAATAGTTTGTCATGTAATATAAGGACGTGCATATTTATGTTCAGTACCACACTCACACGTGGATGCTAAAGGTAAAGATACACCCAGTTGGATGCTAAAGGTAAAGATACACCCAGTTGGATGCTAAAGGTAAAGATACACCCAGTTAGCTTAGCACAAACAACCTATAAGCTCACAAATTAACATGTCATATTAGATTTTTTTTTCAAATTCATACCAAAACAAACGTAAAAATTGCCATTCTCTCCATGTTTTTTCAGGCCATGGGCTGAATGGTTCCATTCAAATAACAGTTTCACATTTTAGTGAGGGGTTAAGTCTACATGTTGGACTGTCTCTTGGCCAGTGAATCCAGAAGGCTGCCAGTCTCATAGTGACAAGAAGACTGCAGGAGGTAACTGTCCCTGGCCAAGAACAGCTCAAACAAACAAGATATAACATGTTAATTAATGAACTCTGCTAGGTGGATTGTGTTTCCTGTGGATGGAGCCAGGTTAGTTGTTTCATGCTGTGTCCAATCCTTAATCTAACTGCCAGTAGTGTTATATTTACCATACATGGATGATAGTGGTTTTGGTCTTCTCAACTAATTATTTGAAAAATCCAACTGGTGTATGTGTAAAATGTCCAAACTATTTAAACAGAAGAGCTGGTTCCTGGGATGGTCAGGTCGCCTGTGTCTGGTATCGACTGAGGGCCTAAAGGCCAGAATCAGCTTGGAGAAACAGTCGGAGCAGGGGCAGCATTTAGCCTCCGTTGTCCACCATCACAGTTAGGTTTGTCCAAATACCCACTGGAGCCATAGAGTTGAGTTATTCTGCAGGCCAGAAAGCAAGCCCCACATCAGTAACATTTATGGACAATTTATAATTGATGTGCTCATCTGATCTCCCTCTTCACCATGAGGAAAACCATCTGAACAAACAAGGATGGTGTAAGTTTATTGCATTAATAGGGATTCCTCTCCTCTGCTTCTCCTGCTTGTTCCAAATCCCAGAAGACCCCTTTAGAATAACTCAAACCGTGAACAAGTCAGACTTGCATCCAAAGGCATCCGTCACATTTTCCACTCAGCAAGCAGAACTCCGTCAAATGTTTTCCCCTGGCGATAAAAACATGACCACAATTCAGCATTAACAAAACTGACGGGAAATTTATCACTATGGAAGGACTTGGACAAACTGCTTTTATCTGGTTGACACCGGAGCTTTACAGTCAATCTTTCAGTCTCTTGGTCTTTAGAGCAATGTAATGTGATTTACACTATAATAAAACATCTAACAGGCAAGGAAAGTTTATTGATGTAGCACATTTTCATATACAAAGGCAATTCAAAGTGCCTAACATAATGCATGAATAGATAAAATATTAAAGTCTTTAGAAATGTAATGACCTCAGATCCTTTGAGTCATTTGAGTCAGATGTGGATTTTTAAAATGTGTCCTCAGGTGCATTCTTTCAATCAAATTACTGAATTGCTGAATTTATTTGTGAATGCACAAGTAAAGAGTACAGTCCAGTAATTTAGCCTATGTCTGTCCCCTGAAGACAGAAAAGGACTTTGACCATTGCAATGAAATGTTCACATTCATAGGGATACTGTCATTTAAATAGACAGCCATCCTGTCTCTTTTGTTAATTTCTCTCTAGCACAGCCTGAATTTTAAACAAAAAAACATTAGTAGCAG